GTGCATGTCTGTTATACTGCAGAAATGATCAAATTCATTTAAAGTGACAGTAAAAAAAATTTATTACTGGTCTTCAAAAAGAGACTATATCAAGCCTTTATATATTTGCATGACGTTTGTTCTAGTTCTCATTTCTGCTAAGCCAAATGCTTGAAACATATATTATGCAATTTTTAACAAGTATCACTGCATTTTTTGTTTTCCTAGGGATACAAAGCATAGCAAAAGTCAGCTTTTGGGTCAGCTGCAATAGGGAGTTAAATTGGAATAAAGTATATCAAAATGCTTATGCTCAGCCAACTGCATAATCAAAGGATAAAGGTTCCACTGAACAATTTAGTATCTGACTTTTCTAACTAACCTTTTTGTCATAAATCAAAATATTTCATTTTATTGTTGAAAGTTAGTCTTAGCACTGGGGATAAAGAGAAAGGAAGAGAGCAGCACAGGTAGACGTGGGCAGCATATACCAGTAAGGTCACACATCCAGAGAATCCTGTGACATCACAATAAACACAACAATAAAGCTCCAGAGGATTGGGAAGTGTCTGAGATGACAGGAAGGTATCTTTGGACTCGGTTGTTTTGCAACATACTTATCTCACTTAATTATTGTATGAAAAATACAACTTTTAATTTCTAGGAAGAATACGTTGTCCCCTTGATATTTTGGAAAGCTCAGTTTATTGAAGATTTTCTATCACTGAATAAGAGCATTATAGGGTTTTAGCTTACATCACCACTTCAGAGTTGAGCTGCTGTAGCTGGACAGTGGATTATAGAAACGATGCATTGACATAAGAGACCCACATGGTTGCCTTTAGAGGTTTGAAAACCTCTTTTAAAGGGATTCATTTGCTCACTTTACTGTTTTCAGGGTTAAGTTCTAGAATGGGCCAAATATTTTCCAGAGGTTGAATGCTTGAAACTCTCATGAATTTACTACTAAACATAAGCTATTGAATTTGATGGAAGATGAAGGTAAATGTTTTGCATCAGAGGCTGTGTTGCTCCTATGGAAATTTTGAGAAATTAATGTGGAACTGTGTGATTTTAGGACTATTTGAGGGTTTATATCACAGCTTTTCCTATGCTTTCACTGTAGGCTTGTATATTGTTTTTGATGCCTGGTGTTTTTTTCTTTTATCAGGTGAATATTCTTTTTTGTAATAAGGTTTTCTACTTACTGATATTTTGGAAGGAGAGATTATAATGAGTATTTCTATCTGTGGAAATAGTTCTTTTTTTGCTCCACGGAGCAATCAGTGTTTTGCCCTTTTTCATGACCTTCAGAAAACATTATCTTTATTCCACTGTATGAATCTGTCATTATTTTATCTAGAGTGTGTGCAGCCCTGCCCCAAAAAGGCTAAAATAGGACAAGAATAGTTACATAAAAGGTGATGCTCCACAGGTATGGAACAATTCCATATAGCTGAAGCAGGACAGTGAAGAGCAGTTGCAGAGGAAGAGGATACTCCGTGTCACAAATGGCATGGTGAAAGCTAATACAGGGCAATTGATGACCATGAATTGTATGACAAGAATGGAAAAAATCAAAAGGAAATTTAAAAGACAACAATATATATTCTCCTATTCAGTGAATGGTTGAAACTGTTGATATGAATGACCATGAAATCTGTTAACCATTGTGGTGTACATACTGCCTTCTGCTCAGAAAATTTCCCAGCCATGAGCTGCAATACAAGGAAAAGTTTCCAAAATTATTTTCACTGTATCCATGTCTCTTTAATATTTACAATTATTCATTGACACTATAACATAGGCTTGGAAAAATTCCTTGTATAATGTGGACTAAACACCATAGGTGATTTTGATGGTTTCTCCTAACTTTAGTCCTAACATTTGGTTTCTGATACTCTTAACTGGCTTCTTTTTTACTGGCAGAATCTTCTGGCTCCTTAAAGGGTCATTGGGACAAGTGAAAGAGCCATGTGGAACATTTTTAGGCAACACAAGCATATGATATAATGTAAGCTTCATAATACAATACTGGTGTTCCTCCTGATGTTTGCCTTTTATTAAGATGTGCCTGCTTAATGCTGATGTGTACATTTCTTGGAGAACTATCATGAAACTTTCCAAAAACTGTCAGCCTCACAATTTGGTCAACTGGTTTTGAAAGAAAGTATTTTTGGCTTTGAGAATTTTGGGTTAAACTTGCACCTTTCATTTTAAAAAGGAAAATAGTGCAGAACCAAAGTCTCTGGCTGCAAATAAGCAACCATTTGCAGGCACACCTTGATTATCTCTGAGATAGAAGTCTTCCAGTGGGGTTTTCTTCTTGCTCAAGGTCAGATGACTTTCACAGTACTTGTACCATCTTCAAGATTTACTATCAGTTGTAAAAGTAGCTGTGAAATATAATTTTATTCTTGACATCTGGAAGAGAGCTTGGTGTTGTAACTGGTCTATAAATTATAAAAGTAAATATACATGCATGAATACTTTGAGGTATAAAGCATGTACTAAACACCCAGTATATGTACCATCAAGTATTTCAGAAATATCTAATATGTTCTGAAATATAATTTCTGCTTTTTTCCCTCACCCCATAAACTGAGGAAATGTCTCTGGAGTCATGTATTGGCACTCAAGGTTTAGTCATGTGCTACCAAGTAATCTGCATGAGGACACACAAAGGCATCCACAGTATAAGCCACCTGCTCTGTGGATACGTCTATATGTCTATAGCCATAGACAACAGTATTCGTGGCTGGTTTGCCATTCCCTCCTTGCCTCTTTACTCCCATTCAGATTTGTGGGAACCCAGATTTCTACAGATTATTTACACATCAGTCAGGAATTTTAAGGCAGCATGGAAAAGGTAGAGGGAACAAACCATGCTGAGCAGAAGACTGGCCAAGCTTAGTTTTCTCGTGGATTAGTAGGGAAACAGCCAAGCTAGCCACAGGTATCAATGCAGTTCATGATAAGGGGTGTGAACCCTCAAATGACAGCTGTGTTCTCTTTTTCTTCACAGCACCACAGATTAAATGCAAATGAAAATTTCAGAAGAAAAGCTATTTTAGAGACATGGTTATCTTGGAAGTCTTTGGATGTCATTTTGGTTAGAAAATTATACAGCAGTGAAATTACTTTAATACAGAAATGTTCTTACTACATTTCCTTCTCTTTCTGTTATGATCTTAAGTATGCAATGGTTCTTCCCTTGGGGTGTAAGTGGGAACCCAGATTTCTACAGATTATTTACACATCAGTCAGGAATTTTAAGGCAGCATGGAAAAGGTAGAGGGAACAAACCATGCTGAGCAGAAGACTGGCCAAGCTTAGTTTTCTCGTGGATTAGTAGGGAAACAGCCAAGCTAGCCACAGGTATCAATGCAGTTCATGATAAGGGGTGTGAACCCTCAAATGACAGCTGTGTTCTCTTTTTCTTCACAGCACCACAGATTAAATGCAAATGAAAATTTCAGAAGAAAAGCTATTTTAGAGACATGGTTATCTTGGAAGTCTTTGGATGTCATTTTGGTTAGAAAATTATACAGCAGTGAAATTACTTTAATACAGAAATGTTCTTACTACATTTCCTTCTCTTTCTGTTATGATCTTAAGTATGCAATGGTTCTTCCCTTGGGGTGTAAGTCTGTAAGTATATTACAGGGTTTGGCTGACAAAAATGCTTCAGCAAATATTTCAACTTGCTCTTGAACTCTTCATCTTGACTTTGAACATCGAGTTCATAGTCCACATTATGTGATCAGTCTTGTGCTTAATTCATTCACAGGCAAAAAGAAATGTCAACGGAGACTGAAGCAGAGAAGCAGTTCTTTGCAGAATAGCTATACATCCCTGCATATACCTGCATAGATACCTGATGTTATCAAGTTACATATTCATAAAGATCTCAGGGTTCTATATGGAGAGTCATGTTCTGTGAGGGCTTTCATAGTTTGGAGCATTCAGCCTTGTTCTCAAGTGCTGATTGCGCTAAGCGTTCACTCCTGAAAAATGAAATTTCTATGTTCTCACCCCAAAAAGGGCACTTTGTGCTCCTAATAGCATGGCAAATTTGAAGGGAAGAGGCCCTCCTAGCTCTTCAGAGAACATAAACAGCATAAAGCTCTATTTATACCTTCTTCAGAGAATCTATTTGTTCCAAATTCTCCAGCTCTTCCTCAGATGATTCATTGTGTTTGACTTTCATGACAGCTAGGGAGTCAAAACTCAGATTCTGTCTCACTAAGGCAATTTCACTCCATCTCATGCAGCTCAAGAGCTTCTCTCTGTTTTTTTATATAAAGAAATGTACCTAGTGCTACACAATGCTTTGATTGTGAAGTATGTCCAGACAACAATTTCAACACAGGAAGTGTCTGATAATAATACACAATTTGAAAATTAGCCTGTATACAATTTAATTCAGAATATCTGGTAATCACTGCAGATGTTAATTAGGAGACATGGCTCCAGTGAAGACTGAGCACTAAGGGACGTGTGGGTGATTTTCTGGGTTAGTTTAGATGATGCTGCAGTTATCTTGCTGTCATCAGTGAATCACAGAATGAATCAATATCTGGAAAGGACCCAAAAGCATCACAGAGTCCAACTCCTGGCCCTGCACAGGACAACTCTAAGAATCCCACCATGTATCTGAAAATGTTGTCCAAACACTTCTTGAAGTCTGTGAGGCTTGGTGCTGTGACCACTTCCCTGGAGTGACTGTTCCAGTGCCCAGCCACCATCTGGGAGAAGAACATTTTCTTAATATCCAACCTAAACCTCCTCTGACACAGTTTCATTTCCTTTCCTCGAGTCCTGTCACTGGTCAACAAAGAGAACAGACCAGTGCCTGCCTGTCTGTTTTGCCTTGGGAGGAAGCTGTCGATTCATCCCTCAGTCTCCCCAGGCTGAACAAACCAAGTGACCTCTGCCACTCCTCATATCCATCTTCCCCACACCATTCACCACCTTCAAGAACAGTTATGTTCTCCTCCATTTTTTTTTCTTTTTATGAACTACAAGTCTTCCCACAAAAAGGTGTGTGGAACCATCAACAACACTCTTACATCTTCACTAGCAGAGGTATTGAAAATATTTTTTTTAAAAAATCTGGAAAAAATAAACATAATCTAATAATATTTCTCCATTTTCTTCAGCCTTGTTCCCAAACAACTCCAAACACTTTGCAGACGTGATTCCAGGGTCAGCATATCCCTAGTTCTTCATCTCATAGAAGGGAAACAAAGAGTTGAGCAAGAATGCCATCTTGTTTGAAGCGCTGATCCCTGTAACATAAAGAAATGAGAGTTATAAAATTCACTACTTTTAAAATTAAGTCTGTTTTTAGGTGATATGACTAGCATCATCAAGGACAGTTAAGTATATAAGCATGTGTTTAAGTATGATCCTTGAGTAGCTTGAATAGAACAAATCCTCAAGGTTCTGGAGTATCTAAATCTATTTCCTGTTTGAGGCACCTGGCCTCCGGCTGTTGTCTGCAACATGATAAAGCCCAGTGCCTCAAGATAACCACAGCCTCAGCCATCTGCTCCTGGATTAGCTGGACCAAGGTGTTTACTAGCTAGGACAGCTCATTTGCAGTAGGCAACACCATAACAGATCCATGGGCAGATAACACTACAACTTCCGTAACAGACTCAGAATTAGTCACATAGATGACAGCCACTTAAGCACCTGAAAGATCCAAACTTCTAATGATAGTCTTGAGCCACAGACTGTTTCAGTCATTTGGTCCAAACCCATGCACAGAAAACTTAGTGTTTGTATGGAAGGAGAGAAGAATGAAGGCAAGCTTCTCCACGTGTTGCTCCAGAGCTTTACAAAGTTTCTTGTGCCTTCTCTTCCACTTCTGAGAGCAGTAAACAAAGTCAGCTCATGGAGATGTATTAGAACCAAGCACAGCTTCTTCTGGGCCCCATCAATATAAAATATACAGAAACCCCAGAAGTTTGCAAAGTTATTTCAGGGGCTGGAAATAATCTTCCTATGATGGAGCAGGTATAGGAATAAAATGTTCTGTGTATATTTTATGTAGCTGTATATTTTGAGAGAAATTTAAGATCACCCACAAAGGACAAATATCTCTTATGAGGTAGGGCTGAATGATTTTATTTAAAATTAATAAATAAGAAATGAAAGAGCAGCTTGTTTCTCTAAAATCCAAGTTGTAAAATATATTTGTTTAGATTTTTTTTTATTTTGTTTATTGGTCTTTTGGTATTTTATGTTTTTAGATGACTACAAGGATTTAAACAGAATTTTTAGTTTTGGTTCAATAAGATTTAAAAGAAGAGCTTTAGTAATCACAGTGCCAATTCAAACTTACTTCCTACTAAAGAGCAAGCCCAAGGAATGCTTAACTTTTCTGGTTTAAATTCTTCATTAAAAAGTAAAAGTTTAAATTGGCAGGAAAACTGCTATTTAAGCTGCTAGTACACCAACATCAGAGAAAGCTGAGTTTTAACCCTTGGTACTCTGCCAGGTACTGTACTACATATAAGCAAGATAAAGAGAGAAATAAAGAAAAAAATGATGGTCGAAGATAATTTTTATTTAGCCTGTGATACCCTAATGGATTTAATGTAAAAAAATAAAAGGTTATGAAGTACCTCTTGAGGCCATAACCAATAGACTTTCAAAATCTGTTGATTTGCACTAGCCAGCAAATCCAAAAAATTGTAACATATAATTGCAAAGCACAGCCTTGTTTGGTCGAATGATTGGCATATGTTTCTCAAGAAATATCCTTATAACTTACCTAAAACTCTGCTTATGAGTAATAGGTTTTTTGTTCATGAGTGAAATAATTATGCACAGTTTTACACCACTTAGTTCTCTTAAAAGTTATAGCATCAGGGGCCTGATGTTGTAGTTTGGCATTTCAAGTGTAGGAACTTAGATTTCACATTTAATGTCTCAGCCACTCTGGATCCTAGCCACCTAAAACTTGGCAGGCAAGTTTGTCTGCCCAGATGATTTTTTTTATAGTTTAAGATGAGTAAGTCCTTTTCTGTACAATGGCCAAAAAAATTGTTTGGAGCTAGTTATATAATATTTTCTTTACCAGATGCAATTATAAAATAATTCTGTTAAACAAAAAAAAAAAAGATACAGTCTGCAACTTGTCACCAGTTTTTGTAGAATAAAGCACTTAGGATTTTTAAGCAAGATAAACCACCACCCCATAGACAAACAATGAAAATTAAATATTGGACATTGAGACAAGTAAATTCTCCAGCAAACTTTACCAGTTAGTTACACTTTACCTAGGCAATCAGAGTGGCCAAGAGAAAACACTTATGGCAATTTTAAAAACAGCTTTCTGCTCTTGCAGCACAGCATGCTAATCTTGCTCTTTGCTGTGCCTTACACACATCACCTGTGGGGAGAGACAACCATCCCCAAAGTGGCGTGGCCAGTGTGCCACCACCAACCATCAAAACTTCTCACAGAGAACTGTGCACTCTTATCATCCATCTTTTAAAGAACCTTTATAAATTATCTGACTCTGGAGACCTAATATGTTAACTTCATGGTCCAGCACTATACTTCAGACCAGAACTGGGAAATAAGAAGATCAAATTTTCCTGTGGGCCTCAAGATGTCAATGCAAAAAATTGTCTCTAATAACAGCTGACCCTTTGTCTGAATAGTCAAAATGGGCCAACCCAAAATATTCTAGACTGTCACCAATCCTTGGAGTATCTGATAGTTTCATTTGAAGTAAAAAAAAAAAAAAAAAAAAAAAAAAAAAAAAAAAAAGAAGAAAAGCCTCTTTGTTCATCAGCAGGCAAATCATGCAGATTCAGAGATTTAGAACATAAGCATTTTTAATAGACTGGATTAGGAGGAGGATTCTAATCCAACTGAAGCTTATAATAGCACTTATAGTTGGAGAAATGCACATCACTGATCCTTTAATTCACTATCTGAAGTGAAAAATTTAGACAATATGTATTACTTTGATACAAAACTGAAACAATGGAAGTTTCAGTGGCTTCTGCAGGTTTAAAAAAAATCTGAGCCCCAAAATATTCAGTTTTGTTTAGAGAATTTTTTAGGATCTCTTTTCTAAACAAAACTGTATTTAAATTTGGAGTGTTGCTTCAAATTGAATAAAGCAAACCACTGCAATTAGAACACATCTAAGTGAATGTCTTGACTGGAAAAAAGAGTATTTTTCTGCTCTGATCAAACAGTCAAAATACAACATGATTTCACAAGTTCTTTTCATTAATTCATATCTAAATTTTTTCATGATCATAATTTAAAACAAAAAAATTATTCCTGCTTTCATTAATTTTAAGGCTTTTCCATTTCATGGTCAGACACTAACAAATAGCATCTTTCTAAGTCCGTTACACTGCTAATTCATTTTCCCATGTGTATGACAATGTCCTCCCCTCATACAGGTTCATATTATCTAAAATATATTTGCCCATTTTTGCTTTCTTTCTGTAACTGTATTTTATTTTTAGATGCATATGATATAAATAATTTTATAAATAAATTTATAATTTTATAAATAAATCATATTTCTTAATAGTTTGGGAATAAAAAGCTTGTTATCAGGCAAACATAGCCTTCTGTGCTTTCACCTCATTGCCATGTTGTTGATGCAGGTTTCAATATGAACAGAATTCCAGCCAATTCTGAAGTCTTGCACTCAAGACAGCATTACTGCTGTAATATTAATGTCATCATCTCTTTCCATGCACAAAATATCTAAGCAATGTATTTAGTAACTGCATTGCAGACTTCAGTGTTGGAGTTTCCTATCTTGAATGTAAAAGCCTTCTATTAGCAAACTAGGATCCCAACTGGAATGAGATTATAATGCAATCATCTGGTTCAGAGCATTATGCCATGATTTTAGCAGCATGCTAGAAACTCCCTCTGCTCCTGGGCTTAATGAAATTTATTATATGGTTCAGCACAGTTTTTGGAAGACAACCAATAAATATGGGAGGCTTCTTGTTGAAACAAGGGTCTTGTTTGCCAGGATTTCACTCTCTTGAGGAAAGCTAGCTGCAGGGCCAGATCTTTTCTTTTCATTGGATACAGAACAGCTACACACAGAGCAGTATTTACTGGTGATAGCAGCCTGTGACAGAGCTATGTCTTTCCAGAATGCTCTAACCAGAGGATAGCCAGTGATGACTGCAGTATACGCACTCAAATGTGCTTTGCCACTACATAATATAGGATTCAAGAAGGGGCATTTGATGTCTGCAGTGCATTTAAAAGTGGAAATCCACCTATTGAGTAAGAATCACGTACTACGCTTTTCTAGATGTTACTTTATGTGAAATTATAATATGAAGATATCCTGGAATGAAGAAAGAAATGGTTGTACCTGCACACAACTGCTTGTTCTATTTTTCAGGCTAACAGCTTAGCTGTAACATTTGTGCATTAGCTAAATAACATCTCAAGGGGAGTTGGAGATAGAACCTTGATGTGTCCTGATTGTACATGTGTGAGTTTGTGCTCTCAAAGGATGGTCCTTAAAAAACTCCCTGCTGAAAGCTATTGTGCATATTGCAAAAGGACCGTTGCTAAGTGCCAATTGAGCTGGTACTGTATACTTGCCATTTTAAAAGAAGATTTCATACCACTTGATTATGTTAAATAGAAATGTTTGAAATTTAAACTGAATTACATCAAAATGGCACAGTAGTTATATGTCTAAAGAGCTGCTGCTACTCACTCTCATAACTAATGTCAATCCTTTCTGGTAGACAGTTTTATGTGAAGTCATGGTAGAGTATATTACAGGCGAAGTTTAGAGAGCCTTGATATAAAAAATGTCATAAATAAATACTGCCTTAAAACCAGCCCTGTGTTTGTATTAACAAGCAAGAACTCCTTTACAGTGAAGTACTGTCCTTAGCCACAAAGATATACCTTTTTTTAATGTCAGAACTTCATATTCAGCCTTTAGGCTACTCTAAGGTGTCAGATTTTTTTCTGTGCAGATAATAGCTATTTGGGGAACTTGGTGTACTCTTTTAAAGCAATCTAGATATATACTTAGTAGAAATAATCCAGAAATTACCTCAAGACCATCTTACCAAAAAAAAAAAAAAACCAAAAAACCCCCCGAAAAACCCCAAAAGAATCATATTAACAGTATATAATCAACATTAGGATCTGACTGGAATCAGAAATCCAATATCATTAAAAGGTAGAGGAGAAGTGCATGCTAAAAAACGAAAATGAAACTAGATGAGCACCTAGTCTGCATGTAAAGATCTGGTATTTTTATGATCAATAACTACTGATAATACATGCAGAGAAGTAGTAATTACCTTTAAAAAGATACTTCAGGATTTATGAATTTGAGAGAAATTTGTTAAGTAGTTCTTGGGGAGGAAACAAAAGGAAAACTCAAACTTAAACAAATTTTACTTGTGAAAGAACATATGCTTTTAAGATTTCATTTTGAATTTTTGTTTTTGTTTCTTTCTAAAAGAGAAGAATCAGGCAAACTAAATACTTTTTTTTTATTTCTTCAATAAATATCAGACAAATCTGAGAGGGAGGGATTGCCTGAGGTTTTTTCTAGATCTTTACAGTTCAGCTGTGGCCTGGAAATTCTAAAATGCTATTTTTTCACTTAGAGAAATAAGAGAGGAAAAAAAAAATCATTGAAACAGCTCAGATAACACTCTAGGGACACAAAATATCTTATTACCTGTGCTGGAGTATTATTTTATTTTACACTGTAATTAAACGCTCAGTTGCCCCTCCTCCCCAGTCAATCTGATTTTATCCTTGGAAGGCAACAGATAATTTCCGTATCAAAAGAGCAGTGGCACTTTCATGCATTGTCACTCAGTTTTCTGTGATGTCACCTGAACAAGATTGTTAATAAGTTGTGATGGAAATGATAACCAGTTTCATCAGCAAAAAGTTCCCATGTGCCAGGATGCACTAAAAGTTGCAACACTCACAATTACATTGTTGTGCTTTTTTTCTCTCCCTAGGAGCTGGGCTGTACACTTTGACATGTCTCTTTGTCTCCTGGGCTCAAGCCTGGTTTCTAGTGGTGGTACCTGACCTACTTGTAAGTTCCATGATAAAATTGAGATGTCAGGCTGCCTATTTTGTTAGAAAATTAAAATCTACTGTGCTTCATAGAACTGAAGATCAACTCCTTTTGGAACGGACTGCCATGTTATTCTTCATTTTGATTTATTATCTATAGACTCAATACCCTTAAGACTTCACTGTTAAGATCCCATTGCAGTTTTAGCTTGAAATGCATTTTGAAATTTATCTCTTACTTGGCTTCTGTTAAAGCACAAAAATATGCACTATGAGTTAAATGTTGCTTTTGACTGGGGTCTGGTGTAATCAGCTTACCCACAGGATGAAGAAAGAAGTGTTGCAAAGTTTCTGTGATGCTGGAGATAGTATCGTAGTGGTGCCACAGCAGCCCAGGTTGGAATAACTCTCTCCCCTAACTGGTTACTCCTGAGGACTTGTTTTGTAGCAGAGTCCTTCTTATTCAAGCTGTCAATGGAATGAGCACACTGAAGACTTCATGTGCTCTCTTGCATGAACAAATGCCAGTGCGCAAAGGGATCCTGCAAATTCTGCTCTGGATGGAATGACAGACACCTGCCACAGGGATGTTGATATCCCGAGGTCAGAATAATATCTGGCTTCTTCTTTGGTTTATTTTTGGGTTAATTGTTTGTTTAATAGTAGAAATCTTACCATACCAGGAAAAAAATCTAAATATTCAGGGTCTAACTTTGTATAGCTTTACTCTTGCTTTCTTTTAATTTATTCAGTGTTCAAGTAATTGTTACAATCTTCATATTCTTTGGGTCATTGCAAGGCTGTTCTTTTTTTCTTATTTTTTGTAGTTTACTTATTTAGTTAATTTCTCTTTTTTATTCAATTGACAATGTTGCTGATTTAATAATTAAGCAATATTTTACTTTCTTTTTCTTTCTTTCTTTCTTTCTTTTTTTCTTTCTTTCTTTTATTCTTTCTTTCTTTCTTTCTTTCTTTCTTTCTTTCTTTCTTTCTTTCTTTCTTTCTTTCTTTCTTTCTTTCAGTAGTTCAGGTCCTTAATCTTCAAAGAATTTTTTTCTCCAGTCTTCCTACCATTCTCTTTTGAATGTTTGACCACTAGCTGATTATTCATTTATTTTATTTTAACCTGAGAAAGAAAAATATAGTTTCCTGCAGTTTTCACTCTCTTGTTGGTCTGAGTTAAAAAAGGAGTGGTCATTAAGGTTAAATTTATGTCAAGGAAAAGTCAGCTACACTATATATAGCAGTCATGTTAGAAAAGCACTGTTATGCAATTATGACTGCAAAAAAAGCTCTTTCAGGGATGGAAATATATATATATGTCCAAAGAAAATGTCCTTGACTAAGATAGTTTGAATGGTACTTGATCTTACCTTCTATTACCACAACTTCCTTTCAACTTATAGAATACATTATATTAATGTTTACAAAGCAAAAGCTGTATCTATTATAGTAAATAATTAAGTATGGTGTCACTATGGACTCATGAAATACCATATAAGTCAATGAAAGCGTGTTGAAACAGAGGGGTATGTAGTACATGTGATGTACCGTCTATTGCAATGATAATTTGTTCACTGAAATATTTTTAAATGTGTGGATTTAAAATTATAAAGTAAGTCCTTTTTTTACATTTTGCTTTGAATTTTTATGGTGAATTTTATTGAAACATATTTTTTTAAATCAGTCATTTTAGTATTCATTTTTTTCAAATTATAATCTTTTACCACTTAATAATAGAGGAGCAGAAGCTTTTTAAGCACATAACAACTGTGACAATTTGATGGAATTCATTTTATGTAATAATTTTATCAAATAATTTATTTCTTTAAAAAAATACCATTTATTAAAACATTATCCACAATTTAGGTAAAATGGTAAAGCAAATGTCATTTTCAAACACACGACCCACCTTTGCTGACAGCGCAGCACAATCACAACATATTATAGGAAGTGTTGGCATGCTTTGGAACACTGGATGACTCTATCAATAGACTAATAAGCTTACAGATGAGTGCCCAGCATTTTTTAGCTACTCTTTATTCACTTCTCCCTGTGCATCTGCATTGGTTTTAATGAGTTTTCATGTGTTTAACTCAAGACAGGATAAGATTTTCAGCACCTGAGTCATGAAGACACACTTGTGGCATAGATTAAAGCATTCATAGACTCACAAAAAGAAAATTTTGGTCACTTTGAATATCTTCAGGACTGATGTCCCAGGGAAACTGTAATTCTGGAGACAGGGTCTGACATACACAAACATAAAAGCAAACTCAGCATGGATACTTTTAGGAGAAATCAGGGCAAATAATTAGAGACATTCCTTCAGATCTTCAGATGAAGAATGGAATTTAAATTCCTTAAATTCAAGCTCTTCTGTGGATAAGCAAAAGATGCAAAACATACTGAAATACAATGATCTATGAGTATAAAAAGCAGCAGGGACTGAACACAATTGGTGGGAAATACCCCACCAATGTACATTCAGAGGGACAATCATGGAAGGTGGGGACAACTGTCTGGCCAGGAGGAGGCTTCAAAGGAATGAAAGGAAGAGACATGATGGAGAGAGAGCATTCCCTTCCTTTCAGCACCACCATGGTAGCAGGTAAACTACCATCAGCCTCTGGTTTTAGAGGTTATCAGCATTTCCTTACCTTTATTTTTGAGATATTTATCAATGAAAGAATTCATAAAAGGCCACTTTCATTTCTTCAGGGAATATTGTATACACAAGAAGTCTCCCACTTCAGATAAAAATCAGTCCTCCAAACCAACTTGCTGAGTATCTGCTTGGGTTAGTACATCTGTCACTGGAACAAGTCCATTTCTTGCCAGTGTGAAATTAGGCCTTTTTATATATAAGCACTGACTTGTCAGAAGGCACTGGAAAAGAATCTTATTAAACATTTATTAATTTACTATGAAAAAATTTACTATGAAGTTTACTTAATCGCAAAGGAAGAGGTATAAACAAGTGTAAAATATTGCACATTTTTAAACTAACCTTAATGTTAAAAGGGCCAGGCCTTCAGGGGCCAAATTCCTCCTTAAAATATTGTTAAAATATTTAAGTTAAGTTAATATTTAACTTAAGTTAAAATCTTGTCTTCCATTAAAAAAAAAAAAAGTGTTTGATTCGGTTTTCTAGTTTATTTTGCAAAGTTTGTATCAACCTTTTGCATTCAAAATCTCAGCTGAGCAGCATGAATACCCTCTCATGAACATGCACATTAACAGGTTATCTTGAAGAATTCCAATATTTCTAATACTGGAAGTGAATTCCTGTATATTATGGTTTTTTTCCTCTAAAAGATCTGTTCCATAATGATCACCATCCCACACACTTCTCCTGAACAATTTTCCTGCAAGAATTTTGTTGTGGATACCCTTAATATTTGACAAGTGTTCCATAAAATACTTCTGTCTCTTTAGAATTTACAATGTTCTTTTCCTGCCTTAACTGCAGACAGAATATAATTCTTTTAGTGGTCTGGATGAATATTCATAAGTGACAAGTACTCTGAGTTCTAAAATATCAGATCGGGAGGTTTTACAATTATTAGATCAGGGCTTTTCTCATTTGTACCCTGGGATTAAAATGTCTTTATTTCAGTGCAGTAACAGAGGAAGAACACAAGATTACAATAGATTTAACAAAAAGGAGATAACTTTGCATTATTTTTCATTCTTCTTTCAGTCTCCATCACGAGGATGGAGTCATGCTGTGACATTCTTCTCTGGGTATTGGAACATGAGAATGATATACTTGACTTTGAATGTCTCAAGTTTTGTAACATATAATAGCTGAGTTTCACCCCGGTATTTTGCATTTTGATAGGCAAGTGCCACTTCACTGCTGAGGCCCTTCTGCTGACCTTTAACACAGCGGGTAGCTTCAGCACTGCAATTATCACTATGGGTTGTGGTGTCCTGGAGGAAGTCAGCATGTGCACATGTATCAGCTGGGATATCAAGGATCTGAAAAATAGAAGAGCACATACCAAGCAAAAGAAGTCATTTGATCATGACAACCCAGTCAAGCCAAAGTCCAAGTGATGGTTATGTCAGAAATTCTTGCTTAGCCTCCCTCATGCATTTGAGTGGAAATGTCAGAGGCTACAATTAATGAGACTCCATTTTACTTTCTCTTAAACTACTGCCATTTCCAGCTCAGAAAGTTCTACCTACTGGTTGAATAACAGTAAATCAGCATACAGGAGTGTGATTTATCTGCTTGATGCATAGTTATTAAGTTTGATCTTAAGTTTCAGTGGTGAAACTGGAAACCTTACACGGGTAATTTTTTTCAAATGTGGGTGCCTAAAGCATAAATAAATATGTATCAGGGTGTGCATCCTTATTTTATAGAAGTACCTTGTATGAGACAACCCCAAAGATTTTACCTTCAATTATAAGAGAACACCAATAATACAAGTCTCGGTGGGTTATTACTATACCATGTTCAGCAAAGAGCAATCAATGTGCACTAATATAAGTAGAAGACAGCCCACCAACAAAAGGTTAAGCAAAACTGACATAAATGTCTCACATACTGTAGTTTTTGCTATTGCACTTCTAGTTATCACTACTGGTGCTGAGGAACTGCTCTCAAAATTTGCTTGAATTGAAAATGCTTTCTACAACAGAAACATATATGTTATATGATACTTTTGCCTTTGTAAATAAAATTCAAAAAGTTTGGGGGTGTCCTCTTTTATTTAATTAGTAACACTCTTTATTAGCACCCTTGATACACCATCTTTGCTTTTGCTTTCCTTACCTTTATTACTTCTCTTTTCTTCACTTTGTGGCTGCTGTTCACCTTCCTAAGTTACAGCCCCCCTCCACCTTCCTTTTATTTCTCCAAACAAAAAAACCAAAAAAAAACAAAAGCAGAGCTTTGTTCACTATTTTTTCTTCCAAAGACAAGTTCATGTTTCTTCAACATACTGCAGAACAGCTTATGCTGATTTTGCTGCTTAAATATTATTTTTCGTAGATTCTCTGTTTATTTTTCCAAATGTGCTAAGAGACCTCCCAATGAGATCCCTTCTTCCCTCTTCACAATCTTCCCCTTAAGAATCTGAATGTTGCTAATATCTCCTGGGTAAAATCCAGCCACTGTGTCCACACCAAGTCAAACTGAATTTACTCCATGCTATGCAGCTGTTCCATTGTCTCCTTATTACAACACAAGATTCTGTTTGTTTTATTTATTTATCATTTCTAAGTACCAGGCTTTCTGGCAAAATGTTGCCAGCTGGAAGTTACATGGAAAATGTTTAGCACAGCTTTAACAGATGCTCCAGAGTATGTGTACACTCATTTCATTCTTGGTAAATCAGCATTTAGGGAATATGGGGAAATAGACTGTGAAATGCCATTAGCTTGTCCTAGCTATGGTGCTATTTAATAAAATCTCTAGCAAATTCAAAAGGCAGAAACTCTTCTGAGTCTTTAGTGCATGCATTTTCTCCTCCCTGAGCTATCAATATCAAAAGCATCTTAAGAAAATATATGTCAATGAAAAATGAAGGAAAATAAATAGAAAAAAAAATTAATAGGTATTTCTGATGAATAACTGTCATCCCTGAGTGTGCTAAATTGCATTTCTAATCTCTTTTTTGGGCATTTATTAGCACTTACTTCCCTCAGTTAAATAAGAATGACATGTTATGAATAATGTTTATGCCTCTAGGAGTTTATGTGGAGGATCTTCTGGTTTTCTGTAGCTTTTGCCTCATTCAGAATTAAGTAGTCAAGTTCTCTGTTGATAAGCCTTAAAATACAGAAATAAGGAATAAAACTACCAGTATCTGTATGAAAATCCTCAGTTTTTAAGGTATGGGGAGTTACTGCACCGGGAGTCTCACAGATGCCCTCACCATTGCTTGGTGCAACAAGGGTCCAAGTTTCAATGTCGGCTGCCATGTCCCCATATCAGTCCAGCAGAGATCTTCCACTGCACTTAACACAAGCCCATTAAGAGTAGACTCATCCTCCTAGACAAACAAGTCCTCACTCACATTTAAGCTGCATTTCCATCTGTGAAGCACAAAAATACATTCTTTGGTACCAACCTCAATTTTGAATACTTTTACAGGCAACTCTATATTTCATGCATCCATTATTAAGACTTGGAAACAAACAGGAGAAAAGTATAAAATGCTGGTGAATATCAAGATCTTTTCACTACTAATTTCCACTTGATTTTTCTGAATTTTCTGGATTGCTTTGTAAGATCTACTGATCTTGATAATGATGAACTATGACATAGTTCTACCTCTTCAGAAGGAAGAGTTATTTCCATAGCATTTCTCAGTAACAACACTGTCCACCAGGATCCATTCAGACAAGACCACAGCTTATTATTTGTGAGAGGTTGGATCCTCACTGTTTATAGAAATCTAAATAAAAGTTGAAACATATGTCATTCACC